GAGAAATCAAGCATTTTTGCAGTGAAGTATTGTACAGATTTAAACTTGAGAAATCCTGATCCAATTTATGTTGCAAGGTTTGGCATCTTGTGGACTTTGCCTTTCTGAAGATGTGCTTTCATCCTCTATTATTGGGCTTGCTCCAGGAGATGTAGTGAAATTCAGTGGTGTATTTGGACTGCTGGACAAAGTGGGTGATGTGACTGTTTCCTCCCTTCTTAATCTACCACTTTGATAGCTTAAATCCTTGACACAGATGAATGGATGAAACAAATATAATTAGGTAGCTAAAATATGATATGGTAGCTGAAAATTGTATGCTTTTTTTAACAAAAAAAATATGTAGTGAAAGTTCCATTAAAACATATGCCTTAGTGTTAGAGATCAAGCAGCTTTTTCTCATGAACGTTATTTTAGATAATGGATATGGGGGGGGAGGAGCATTGCCTTTTTTTCTTGTACTTTTGTCTAGCTCAAAAAAAAAACTAAAAAAAAAACCTTTAATCATAGTTTTCACTACAAGACTACATGCATGAAAGCTGTGCACCACCCCTCCTTGGAAAGCTAGTGCTAAAGATGAGCTGTCAACCATTTTCTGGCATACCTCTATTTCTGGTATAAAAGTAATATATTAAAAAACAAACATCTCCTTGGATGGCATGAAGAATTTGAGTTTTAGTCATAGCTGTCTACAAGGCAGAACTGAAACTGGGCACTTAAGCCTTGTTGTGTGGTCCTCAAAATACGTCATCCCATAGGCATCTTGAGTTTTATCTTGCCTGGTTCTTTCTGCATGGACCCAAGGCCTCCTTTGCTTTTTAAGTTTGTGAGGCATCTCTTCCTCAGCCAGAACAACTTGATTCCTGGAAGATTATGACAGCTTCCTGCCCAGAGTCCAGATAGACATTCCCGATAGATGTTATTCTGACTAAACTTCCTGACCCTGTTTAATTATGCTGAAGGTGCATATGTTAAAGTACATATCAACAAACAACACAAGGGGGTTGGAACTAGATGATCTTAAGGTTCTTTCCAACCCTAACCATTCTATGATTCTATGATCCTTGTCACTAAAAGAAAAAAGAGGGATTAGAGGAGGGTTAAAAGTCTCTTCCTTCATCAGTCTGAATCCAACCTACTGCTCTCCCTTCTTTAGGAGTGTGCTATAAATACTAAGTTCTGCCTGTGAAAAGGTACTGGTAAATGGGCAGAATCATTCTTCCCATCTCTTGCTGTTTTAACCTGTGGAGCAGAGGAAGGGAGACATCAGGATGTGGGGCAGAAGGGCTGCTGCTGCAGGACCAGCTGAGGCACTGGGCACAGGTAGGGAAGGTCACATGTGCTGCTTAAGGAATGCTTGCCCAGCACAGGACATCCAAGATCCAGGAGTTATGTCCTCTCCTTAGTACCAGACACAGAAATCGGTTTGGTAGAAAGGAATACAGAGCTGAGGTAGAATACACATCCAGGGGAAAATAAGAGCCTCCAGTGCCATTCTTTTTAGAACACCAATTTTCTTGTTCGTTAGAGTAACAACATCAGTATTGCAGCCCAAAGGTAGGCTCCTAAATCATAAAGGAGTAAGATTTAAGACGCCTCTTTTGTGTTTCCCATTGATTTGATAGGTTCCCTTTGCTCAGAGAGCTATTTTATCGCTTGAAATGTTTTGACTTCTGCTAAAAAGCTATGTAACTCAGTGAATACTCTTACTGACACTCTAGTCTTTCACTCTTTGCTTGCACGGAGAGACGTTTCCAGCTTTGATAATGATCATTTGACTCAATATTTGGTTTTCATGCACTAGTGAATATTTCCCTCTGCAGGAAACTGTAAGGCAATAGCAGCCACAGCCTCTGGCAGCATAGGAAAAAAAGTTTGAGTCCTGAAGTTGTAACTCGTATAGCTGAACTTACTGAAATGGGTACTCGTTTCTTGGCAAGCTGCCCTAGCAGCATGGCCATGTTTACGTAAAGTTTTCTATCAAGGTATGGATTTCCACTGACTTTCAGATAGTTTTGTTTGTTTCTTTTTCTCTCTCCAGCAGATTTTGACTACACACAAATAATCTGTCTTTACCCATCCAGAATATTTTAACATTGGTACTTACAAGTATTACCCTCCTTGGGTTGTCATCTTTCATACTCTGCCACAGCTTTCTTGACTTCCTACCTAAGCTGAACTGCAGTAAACAGACCAGCTTCTGTGAGCCACAGTATGCCCTTGTAGGTGCTTCTGGTTCCTGCACTGCTTCATTTCAGTTCCTGATTGTGTCAGTTTTGTGTCACTCACTTGATTTTGTAACAGTCAAGCTCCTGTACCTCAATGCTTTCCCTTCCCCATCTAAAACTCGCAATAGTATGCCTTCTTTCTCAAGGACCGCAGGTTTTAAAATGCAGAGTACGGTCACTACTGTTTCATCTACAAGCCAGTGCTGCACTTGATGGTTATTACTGTAGATTATTCACCTCTTTCAAGTCTAAAGCTTTATCTGTTGGCTTAGTTAAAAAGCATCACTGCATTCTCAAAACATAGACTGGAACAATCTTGGGTTTGCAGGCTTCTTTTTGAAGATACTGAAGTATTCTTTTACTTCCTGAAATTTCAAGCAGTACATACAATTTTCTTTCAACTCCCATGAGCAGGTATTTGCATTCTGGAGTCCTAAAAATTCCATCTGGTTTGACATTGTTCTACAGCTGTCATTTATATTTTTGGAGACAGAAAAGCTTATTTTCAAGAAAATGAAAATGAGGCCTTGCAGAAACTAAGCCCTTCTGCAGTAAGGTGAAAGTTATGCCAGTTGGATGGAAGACCATTTAAACAAAAAATAAGCTACTACTGAGGCATTCTTAAACAATTATTGTCAATTAATGCCTCTCTGTGGCAGTTTTGCTGTGCCTGTACCTTTGGAAAAGGCCTGCTCTCACCCCTGATCTATATGCCTGGTGCTATCCTTCTGGCTTCAGTACTGCTTTTACAAGGCAACAACAGGCTCTGCCTCCTGATGTGGTTGTTTTTGTTACTGATGCAGCCTGCAATGTGCTGAGGAGGGCCAGCCTTCCTACTCAGACTCCTTAAGCTGGAGAGTTCAGCCACAGACAACTTGGAATGGCTGCATGTTGTGTGGCTCCTAACAAACAGCTTTGTTAGCCGGTGAAAAACTGAGGGGTTGAGAGAGGAGATCTGACTGCTTTAAACCTTCCCTTTTCTTGGATGCTCTGGGGACTATTAGGGTTTTTTGTAACTGCAGGGAAGTTGTACTGCAGACTGCTGGATCATTACCTCTTTTCCTTCCCCTGGCTGTCCATGAAGTGGAATACTAAATAGCACAAAATGATGCTAAACTGGCCATTCTCTGTTACAGTGATTATGATAAGAAATTCACTGAAAGAGACTTGTAACAGCTGATTTCTTGGGGCTTGCTTTTACGTCAAGTGTGCATTAACCTAGTAACTCCCAGATGACTTTGTGCTTAATATTGTTTCCTATTTACAAGAAATCTGCATTTAGTAACTTTTGCTTGTTATGTAAGATGCTAGCTCTTGGTGACAAACAGCCTTAGCTCCCCCACCTCATCTACTGAGGTTTTTGTAGGTATTTTTTTCCTGTAAAAAGAAAAGAAAAAAACACAAAACCTGGGGTTGGAAGACAGAAGCTGAATCCCGCAGACACGCTTGCTCTGTAACAGTGGCTTTACCATCTGTCACAAACCATAACATAGTAATTATAATACTTTAAAAGGCAAGAAAACATGAAAAAATGTAACTGTAGGAATAAGGACTGTCTTCTCTTATTTAGGGCAGGTTCTTAACACAGTGGGTTGAGCACAAAGGAACAAAACTTTGTTTCAGTGAAGTCAGTGACCTTTGCTTTCAGACGGACTTCTGGTTTCTACACCAGTTACAGAACAGCATGGCATATGGATTCACTTGTCAGTTTTACGACTACTGTAAAACTATGCAGCACCATGTTTTCCTTTGTCATCATAGTATTTATAGAATACATGGTTTATTTTTCAAAGGTTAATAAGCTCCAGTGAGATTTCTCTAAATGCAAAAAATATGCTTGCAATTTTGCACAGATTACATTTTTAATGATGTGTTCCAAATAAACTTCAAAAAAAATGAATTAACAGCCACTGAGTGCTACTGCTGCTTCAGCTGCTTATTCCTTACACCTTTGCTCTTATCTGCAAAACAAAGACCAAATTCTGCCTGAGGGCTGTGTTTGGCTTGCATTCACCTATGACATACTACACTTAAACATTTGATTGTTGGTTTATGCAATCACACTTGTTGGGACTATTGAAAATAATTGCCACGGTACACACTTTAGTTAATGACTGGAGCTGCTAGTTTATAGCAAAAGTGCTTTTTGCACAGAACTACTTCACAGATGGTAGCACAATCAAATCTGAACAAGAAGGATCTCGCATACCTGAAAAATACAACCCATTCTTCTACAATACTGATCACTACCTCTTTCTGTTCCTGGGGTAAGTCAGCTCTCCTGCAGGTATTCATTTTAATATTCTGCAGTCTTTTTTTGCAGTTCATCACACCATTCCCTTGAGTAGCTAACAATAGCAGTTCTACCTAGCTTTGGCTGGCCCAGACTTCCATTAGAAGTATCACAGAATATTACTGAAAAGTCTACTCTATTTTCAGGTGTCATTAAAGATTGGTGTTTTGGCCTCAGGGACCACTTAGTTTAAAAGTGAACTAAAACAAGCCCCCTCTTCTTTCCGCCCAACAGAGTTTCTTAGGAAATCATTACAGTTTAACAACTTTAAAATGGGACAGAAGGTATGAAGCAAAATAATATTTTAAAAATGTCTCTTCTTTTTTCAAGGTTTTGCTAAGCCACTTCATTACGGTTCCTCTTGTTCAGCAAAGCACCTGCACTGGAGCTTCTGGCCAAAACCTGCTACTTGAGAAAGCAAAGTGAATCCTGTGAAGGTACCATACATAAAAAATAGTGTTTCTTTTACACGCACCACATACTAACAGTGTAAATTTAATAGAAATGCGAATTCAAGTACAGAAGTCAAACACATGATTTCAACATTAAAAATTAAAACACTTAAAACAACTATTATGTAGCTAATATCAAACGCAAATTAAACTCCTATAACTACACTGAAATTGACACAGAAAAAAAGACAATATGGTGATGAAACATGTTGAACCAAAATATGTGATGGACCACAATAGTTGACTGCTTTTAAGAAGAACTATTCAGCTTTAGATCTTTCCATTGCATCATTTTCTGTCTACATAATAGTTTTGACAAACACTTTTCAGGCAAAAAAGCTTACAACCAATACTTGCATAGGTGAGGCTCTCAGACTCTTAAAAGTATGCCACTTGACTGATGCATTCCTTGAACAGGAACTGAAACTGTATATTAAATTCCAAAAAGAAGGATGATCGACTCCATTAGCTTCAGATTTTAAAAACAGACAAAACACGCCCCTTATTTTTTGGTCATTCAATAAATAAAGCACTTTACTGAGAAAGGCTAAATAGTCACAATGAAAATCAAGATGGCTCACTCAAAATTAATTATATTTACCCAATTTTAAAAATTCAAAACTATTTTCAGTTTAATGCTAAACAATGCTTTCTTCAGAAGAACATGGCCTGATTAGAAAGTGAGCAAACTGCTGTTCAACATGGCTACCACAAGCAAGTAGAAGTGTTGGTTACAAGGGATAGCCTGGATATGAATAAGGCCTCTGTAAACATGGAAGCACACGTCCAACAGAGCGGTGCTAACAACAGTAAATGCAACTTAGTGAGCTGTACATAAAAGTACATGTAATTTGTATGTATCAAGTTGCGGGGTTTTTGCTCATTTTTTGTCTCAAAGAATTACCTAAGGTATTGAAGCTCAACATTACAAATACAGTAATACATCTTATGTAGCCTGATGGTAAGTTGACATCAAAACAGGCCCTTCAAAATACCACTCCTCTGTTGATGCAATGCTGTACCAGAAGATGCTATTGAGCATGTTCCTCCTATAAAATTTTGCATCAAGTTACAGAAACAAATCTGAGTATGATATTTAAGTTTTGTATTATGCATGTTTACGTACGAAAAGGCAGAGTTGCCAAGGTGGTGTATTGCTGGTTATGTTTTTTAATGATTCTTAACATTTATTATCACAGAAGCTGTAACATTTGTGTGAAACTCAAAATACAAGGAATTGTAGCAAATTATTTCAACACTAAAAATAAACTGTTTTATAAACTACTACAGCTAACAAATCTTTTAAACAAATTATCTTTAAGTAAATCTAATCAAGTTATCCAAAACAATTTAATATCCCATGTCACTAATCTTGAAAGTGAAATGTTTAATAAACATATGTGTTTTACAGAATTATTCATCAATAAACATGTAATGTGATTTTCCAGGGAATCACAGAATGTATCAATGTAGTTGGTGGTCTTTTTCCTTTCGTAGCAAGATCCAAAGCAAAACATCCTGAACTTTTCTTGAGGGCAATTCAAGCCAAATAGGGTGTACAGTTGGCTGGAGAAAAAGAGGGGGAGTAGAGAAGAGAGAGAATTTGATTTCAGCAAGCATACTGAATTACCTATCCAAAATGGACTTAAGTTTCTTCAGAGTTAAGATAATGGTATAATGAACATTTTCACAGTCTTATGCTAATTCTGAATTCTTCCCTTTCCTCTGCACTCCTAATACTAAAGTCAACAAGAAATTATATTAGTTCAAGCACCATCAGTCTTTGGTATAGAACGTAAGTATTTTCCCATTATAGATAGATATACATACACTTTTTTAAAACCAAACTTCACAGTAACAACCCTTTGTTTCACCTCAACTGAACACAAAATATTAATGAAGACAAATTTAATGTGTGTATTAGATCACTCTTCTGAGTTGTAGTTATTTTTTATATAAATATGAGAATATACATAATATAAATAATATATATAATATATATAATATATATAAAAAATTTTATATATATAAATACATTAAAAAATACATACCATAGCATAATAGTACTATTAACTAAGTACCAAGTTCTGCCACATGTACCCCAATGGGGATATGATCGTACTAGAAAAATACGGTAAATTCAGTAAATACCTGTTTTGAAGTGACTGATTTTACTGAAGTCAGTCAAGTCATTTCATTGATAAACATAGTCCAACATCATTAAATTTATCTTTTTTTTTCCAAGTTATCCTACACAGGCATAGATTTACAAATTTATGTTCCCTTTCCCTAAGCAGCAGCAGCAACAGAAAAGTAACAGAATCTTCAGGACAAGTCCTGAGTGACTGAGATGCTTCCAGCAGTAAAGTTAACACTGAGTATGGATTTAATGCTGTTTTCAAACTGACTTACAAGCTTTTAAAAACTGAATCTCGCAACACTCAGAAAAGATGGTAATCCCCATTTAAAAAAAATGAGAGGCCTCAAGTGACAGACATCTACACTTAGATGCATCTACAATAGCATATTTGAAAAAAGGGAATGTTTACCCTTGTGGCATAAAATGCAGGAGGTTAAAAATAACAGGTTTTGCAAATTGGAGGAGATGTTAGTCTTTTTTAGATTAAACTAACTACCCAAAGAAAAAGTCTAGGTCACGACTGTAGTAAGAATCCACTGCTGAACATAGACTTAAACTCAAGTTGGAAACACAAATAATTCAGAAATGACTGAAAAATTACCAAGAGTCATTTTAGGAGTAAAAACTGTAACCTTTCTTTGTGCTGCAAAATCCACATGAACATCAGACTGACTGATTAATCAGAGGTCTACAAAAGCAAAGTTGTTGTCTCCTTTGAAGCTAAGACAGTGTCTCTGAGGGGGTGGAAAAGCCTGCACCAAACACCATCCTAGGAGGTTTACTTGCCTCTACTATCCTACTATGCTGCATTCATGGACAGCAAAGTTACATATGCTTGTTTAGGGACTATGCTAAAAATCATTATGCATAAGTCATCTGATAAATATTTAAGACTTCCAAAGTCATATTCTTAAGTCATACTCTTAAGGAGCATCTTATACTACACTCTAAGCCTTTCTAAAATTCACTAAAAAAAAAAAAACTAAAAAACAAAACAACACCCCAATCATCACTTATCATCTGTATTTGCTAAACAAAGCCAGTGACCTTGTACTAACAAACAAAAAAGAGCTGGCTGGAGATAAGAAGGCTGGGGGCAGCATTGGCGGCAGTGACCATGAGATGATGGAGTTCAGGATCCTGCATGAAGGAAACAAGGCAGTAAGCAGGACTGCAACCTTGGATTTAGAGAGCTAACCTTGGACTTCTCAAGGACCTACTTGGAGTAATCCCATGGATTATGGCTCTAGAAGGTAAGGACAGGATCCAAGAGACCTGGGTAAGGTTCAAGCATCATTTCCTCCAAGCTCAGTATAAGTGCATCCCTATGAATAAGAGATCGAGTGCAGGGGACAGTGTGTTTCAGTACCATTTACTTTATACATTCTATGTGGCAAACTGGAATTACTACTATCTATGTGCTATACTTATTAAAATGCTTTCCCTTAATTTCAGAGATTTATCAGTGTTTTTTTTCTTTTCAGTAGTTTGTTAAATATTTTTAAGTGTTCTCTTCTGGCTAATTGCTATAAATTGTGTCTCAGTGAGATGCCACATGGGACAGCCTGTGTGAATAAACTGAGTACCCTATTGTGGAATAGGTCTAAAACTTGGCAGATCCCCCAAACTAAGGAAACTTTACCAAAACTTCTTCCCTTCTCCATCATACTCAGTAGGGAGAGAACTCCCCAAGACTCAGACTTTTCTACAGAGGGTATTGTCTTAAATACTGGAAAGAGGGTCTGACATTTTCTGGTATTTCCTTAAACTACTGGAATTCTACCAGCAATAAGTGAAAACAAAATAAAACAACAACAAAAACTAAAAGAACCCCACAGTCATTCTCAGAACAATGTTCTGCTTTTCCAGGCTTCAGATGTCTACTCCCACTAAAGAAAGGGAAGTGAAGTTCTACAGTTCAGAGCACACCTATGCAACTTCAGGTTCTCTTCTGCCTATACTTAAGAAAGTCACCTGGATGAGCCAGTCTGAGTCCATAAACTACAAAGCTATTATATTACTGATGCCAAGGACCAGAATAATAATTAACATCTCATATTTTAGGACTGACTGTGCACTAACACTGCTTCTAGATCACAGGTGGAATACAGAGTGTGTATTAATCAGCATAACTATACAATCTTCAAATTGGAGCTGTGTTACATCTAGTCAGCCTCCAGAACAGACAAGAGCAGGAATTCTTACATGTTTTTCTAACTGGATACCACATTTAATAGCCAAGCACCATTCTGCAAACAATACTAAAGTGTTGTGTAACTTCTAAAGATGCAGATTTGTGTTGAAATCAGATTCAAATTAATGAAAAAGGTACTTCTTCTACAGGGCATTCAGTTGGGTTTTAATTTGTTCCCCTCCCCAAACATTTACTTTCTAAACTTCAACATGTAGCAGGGCTCCCCTTCTAGCAAAGGGACATCCAGACATGTAATTTTCATATATTTAAACAAGCCTGACTTTTATTTTTCTTCACTCCCTTGATCTGTTCATGATCTATCTAGTAAAACTAAAACACAGCTTTCTGCATTTTCGCCAAGCATCATTTTCAAAATATTCAGGCGACACCAAGTGGTTAGTTGTTGTACTGCTCTCCATTCAGGACTACTGTATGTAGCAACAACCAAGTATACCATTATGTGGAAGTAAATACAGAAATATGCATCACCAAAAAAACCCCGAAGAGCATGCTTTAAGAGTATTAATTTTAGCAGCCCAATTTTAAATTCTTCCAAAGCATCCCTTTCTCATTTACTTAACTTAGTCTGCTTATATGCTTTAAAAAGGGGGGAAAAAAAATTAAAAATTAAGTGGGAAGAAAAACTAAGCTCCTGTAAGAGCAGACCAATACCAGAAGGAATCATTCCTTGTCATCTTTGTAAATGCATACTTATAGTAAGTTGCTTCCAAGAAAAACATTCACACTTTTCTCAAAATCACTGCTACTTAAAAAAAAAAAAACACAAACAAACAAAACAAAACAAACAAACCCAACAAAAAAAACACCTCAAAGAAAATAAAAGACAGGGAAAAAAAAAAACAAACAAACAAAAAAACCCCAACCAAGAACAAAAAAAGAAAACCCACAACACATGCATCCCTGCACCATCATTCAACATGCCAAACTACACAAAATGCTTCAGTGAGGAGGGGATCCACTGTCACATCTAGCAGCTCTTCTTTGGCTTCAGATGTTTCATTCAACATATTGTGTTACATTAAGTTTGAATGAAAATGGCTTCTGCAGATTAGATAGGGAAAAGAAATTCTATTTCTAGACTCCTTAGGGCTACTTTTCAGTACCATGACAATTCCAATGAAAATGTGTTTCATCTACCTGAAAGAGGTGCATCTTTCAAAAGCCAGCCATGTACGTTTGCTTTAAAATATGGGTCCCGCACAGAGCAGCCAGAGCAAATTCTCAGAAACAGTAAGGCCATCAAAAGTTTCATAGTTCAAAGATAACAAGACAGCATTACTAGCACTAGGCCATTAGGTAGACAGCTTTTAAAAACCAAACATGGGATCTGGGAATTCTGCTAAGTAAGAATTCACATTAACTGTGATCATGTGGCATACTGAAGTACTAAAAAGCTTTCAAATACTGTTAATTTAAATTCACCTTAAAATGTTTTCCCTACAGCACTTGTAACTGTAATTACAAAGATAAAAATCTCAACGCATACTTTCTTAATCTTTTTAAACTTGTTTACATTCTGGATTTTACCATAGCTGTGAATAATCATTCTTCACCTAATTTTTTTATATTACTCAGGCAATTCTTTCCCGAAGTAGTACAGAAAATACTATTTTTAGATAATGCTATCTGTGAAACACAGAATGGGCAGGCACAGAACTTGAAGCTGTCTCCATTCTTCTTTCAAATAAATTTTCAGGACCACAATCATCACACAGATGACTTTTTACCTAAGTCACTTAACATGTCATCTAGTTCTTCTTTATAAATCATTATGGCAGATAAATGTAAGCAAAAATGACCCTAGCATTGCATTGTATACATGTTTACAGTGTTACTCCAGTGCTCTCATCTGATGGTCCAGACTCAGCTGACTACACAAGAAACAATTCTTCCGTAAACTAACTTATCTACATAAAAATATACACAAAAGCTAAGATATATACACAAAGAACACTTGAAAAGTAACTTTTCTAGCTTCAGTTGGGAAGCATTTATGCTTACCTAGATGTAGAAGCGTGAACTGTGCTGCCAATTCCTTTGCACCTTCCACTGTTGTGCATAGTTTGTCTGGCATGAAAATACTCTGGGAAGCATCAGCAATACCAGGAATAAGCACCTTGTACACCAAGAGTATTTTCCCATCCTGACTTGTGGTTGAAAACAGGTAGTATTCTGGCGGTGCCCAATTATTTTTATTACAAAAATAATCCAGATGCATTGCTGCAGAACTGAAGTGACTGGATTTTAAAGAATACATGCTAATTGGAGTAAGTTTTATTCCTGGAAAAAATGGGTACGTACATCTTTCAACTTCAGTGGGGACTGGACTGTGCTGACCATTAAGATGAACTGGAAGACTCACTGGTTTCCCTAAGGATTTTTGATGACCATCTTCTTTGTTAGGAAACCCCAAGAGATTTTCAGAACTGGGACTTATCTGACCATTAAAATGTTGCTTCCAAGTACTTTCTTTGTTAACTGGCTTTGCCAGTGTTACCTCAATACTGGCTCCATCAATGCACTTTCCATTCATTACAGACATAGCAGCCAGTGCATCATCTCGGTGGAAAAAGTGAACAAAAGCATAGTCTCTCAGCTTCTTTACACGTTCAACTATTCCTGGCTTGAACTTGTTGAATTCGGCTTTAATTGTCTCCTCTGTAGTAGATATCATTAAATTTCTTACATATAATACCTTAACTTTTTGCATTGTTTCTTCATCAACTTCTTTCTCAGGATCTGCCCAGTCTACTTGAATAGTATGACCCCAAAGCTGAAATGTTCCTACAGCAAAGTAATACAACAAAAAGAAATACACAAGTGAAAACAAAAATCATTCTTAGCAGTTCCTCTACAAAAAAGCAAACATGATGCATGCCACATGGAAATGGTTTGTGTTCCCTGCATCTACTTAAGCCAAATATGTAAAATATTGCTACTTGAAATTACTAAAGAAAATAAGGTGCAAAGAAAAACTTGTCTTTTACTTGAACATAATTTTAAGAGTTTGTCATGGGTTCAGCAGTACCAGTCATTTTTCTCCTGTCAAAACACAGCACTGCACCAGCTACCAAGAAGGAGAAAAATGACTGCTACTGCTGAACCCAGGACAGAGTTTAACAAGTAAAAGATTAAAGACCTACTTTCAAACATTTTTACAGTATGAAGTATCAATAATGTCACTCATGCAGCTCAAAGAAAATAAGGGACACATCCCAAACACTGTATTTTTTAAACTCAGCCTTAAGAGAATTCATGTGCAGGGACAACATATGTAAATGAAAACTGGATGTGTGCCCAAGGAAATACATATCTTGATGTAAATTACAGTAACTTGAGTTTATGAAACAGATGTCTCTTTCATTCTCACAACTGCTTAAATTTCAGTTTCTTAAGAAATAAATAAATCCCAACAAAAAATGTTGATGAACAAAAAATAAAATAAAAAATTCCTCTTTAGCTGAAAGGCACTACTGCAGTTTTGTAACTCTCAAAATACATTAAACAAAGGAAAACAGAGATGATCCACCACCCCACTCCATGCAATGTGGAGACACATCCTCCTGCAGTTGAATTACGTATCAGTTTACCTGGGATAAGCCGCCTCCTAGCCATTGCAGCTGCTCTGTGAGATTCATATTCTACAAAAGCAAAGCCACGATTTTTAGTTTTGTCAGTGGCATTTGGATAAACAATGACATCCACCACTCCTTCTGTAACTTTCTTCATTTCATTCAGTATTTCTTCTTTCTTCTTTTCTTTTGGAATTGCTCCAATAAACAGTCTGCAGTTGTCCAAGCTTACACAGACACCAATAAACTTCCCTGGACGAATTTCATAATTGTTAAGAATCTTGATTGCTAGCTGGGCTTCCTCTTTAGTAGTATACATCACAAAAGCATAGCCTCGATTCTCACCACTGAATTCCATCATGAGTCTAAATTCATAGATCTTCCCAGCTCTCTCAAAAACAGGAACCAATTCATCTTCATACATGTCACGAGGAATCTTACCCACAAAAACTTCACATCCACGAGGTGGTGGAGGACCTTCCCAACCTTAGAAGAAATTGTCCAACAACAATCTTAGTACAAATAAAGGTAAATACATTTCCCCCAGACTTCCAATTTGAAGGTGGGAGTTACTTATATTTAGTCTCTATTTAAAACTAGCATATTGTCATCCTGTATTTAACCCTTTTCTGTTATGTTTAAATACACCAAAAAAAAAAAAGTCATAAGCCCACATTTTTTATTTCTTTTAATTCCATCTTCTGGGTTTTTTCACCGAAACCAACTGAACCCAGCATTACTTAAAACACAGATAGGTTTCTAAGAGTCTACATGTAAATAAAACTTTTTCCTTCATGTAAGAATCAAAAAGCACATAATCTACTCATGAAAAACATGTCTTAACAGAATTGGGAAACTTTTGCCTTCCCACAGAATAAATTTTCCTCTATAAACTGTACACCAAGAACTACATGGTACATAAGGAAGCTATCCAGACATCACAATTGGCATGTGTTTGCAGCTATGCTGTCATGGCTTACTCAGGAAAAAGTCTGGCTCTGTTCCACACAGCATTCAACATCTTTATGACTTTCAGCTTTATAAACATTAATAACCACTTCAGCTGAGGTCTGACAGGACATGGCAAGTAGTACAGTTTGCAAGCTAGTACTGCCATCGCTCACATGCCAGTCAGCTGCCCACATAAAAAAGCGTAAACCAACAGTATACCATTTAGCAACTCCGAAGAGAAAAGCAACTGCATACCTTCATCGGGAAAGAGGGGAGGAGGCTATGCTTGATGGCATAGGGAAGTCATGACATTAAATAAGAATGTTAATTTATTAACTAGACAAATTCACTATTATCTTCAGCCTGATAACCAATTAAACTGTGATTCTCAGTAACTAAAAGCCACCTACCATTCAAAAAGTTCCTCTTCTAATATTGAAGCTGCATGGTAACTTAGCATTACAGCACATTACTGCTAACTGGGAGAAAGTTGCAACTCCTGACTTAAAAGAAAACCCCATCTGTGCCACATTTGCCATGAGCAACATGGCAGATGCCACCATGGAAATGGTTAACCAAAAGCACCATTCCTCATGTAGATACCAACAGACCAGAAAGTTTCCTTGACTGGGTATTTGACTGATCACTGGACAACAGACTATGGGATTCCTTTTTTTGCAGTAATTCAAGTAATCGAACTTCAATCAGCATTAGAGAGTTATAATCCTCCAAGTGTTACTGAGATCCATGCTATCTTAAATTTTCTTCCACACTATTCTGATCACTTAAATACCTAATGACATCATTATGTCTGCAGCAACCTAAGCAGAAGACACAAATGAAGCAATGAAAATCTACTTTCTCCACTTCCCCACCACTCCCATTCAACAGATAAATTTTCCACAAGTGACATAAGCTGAAGAACTGAGCTGAGGTGGGAAAAAAGAATACAGTTTGTTTAAGGCAATTTTGAACCAGATCAGCTCTTTGCTCTGGAGAGCAGCCAGAAAAAAAACAAGATGGTAAGAGGAAAAAACAGCTGACACAGAGACTATCTCACCTGGCAGCAATACAAGCTTATAGAAACCACAGCTTAAACAAGCAAAATTAACAGTAAAACTCTTCATTTACAAACAGTTATCATCATTTCTTACAAGTCATCTACTACTGATCATGGTCAAGATACAGGATGCAGGGCTACACAAATTTTCAGCGTGATTCAGTGCAACTCTCCTTACAGCAAATAAACTCCAACTTTGTCATCTCAAAAGAAATGCTTACCTGGTGGAGGCCCACCAAATTTTCTTTGTCCATTCTCTTGAACCATGCTGTATCCAGTCTTCTCCATAAGGGCAAGTAAAGCAGCCTCATTCTGAGTGCCACTTCGGATTTTGCCACATACATTTGCTGCAGCTTTGTTTTCCTCATGCATATCTGCAATAGCTTCAATAGAACATTACAGATACTTCAATTCAGGTAATTCTACATTGTTATACATACACAGAAGTTACCAAAGCACAGAAAAACAATTTATGCTATATTTGTCTATTTACTGTGACTTTGTTTAGCATAAAGCTTTAATACCAAATCCATCTACTATTGTCTGCGCATTTGTTTTCAAAGCACTGTTTTGTAGTTTTGATAATCTTGAACTTTAACCAGCAACTAGACATTCTATATTCAGATTTTCCTAAACTGTATCACAACTCTTTTCTAAGTATGCTGCCCTTCACCTAAATTAATGAATTATTTCATAAATCATGTTATCACAGTTGTGTGGAGACCTGTATGCTACCTGAAGTGCCAAGTTCCACTTTCTTATTACCACATTTTATAGAAATACTCCTGATCTTGAAACTGTACTTTAGTACCAAAATACTTAATACATTAAGTCCATGCCTAAATAATATAAAGAATTCAAAGAATTCATGAACAAAAGTGATTTAATTCAATCCAATACATAATAAAACTAGGCTGAATTGTCTGACAAAACTAAGGGGTTGAAATAATCCCACTTCTGGGGTCCTTATTTTCATTACTTTATCAATTTTTACAGTCGCCAAAGCTAAAAACATCTACCTATATGGTTGTTGTTGTTCCAGCCACTATTTCTCTGGCATGCCAAATCTTGTACAACAGCTTTGGGTTTCTGTCACTCAGGTGATGGGAAACAATCACACTAAGGAGCCCATTTAGCAATTACTCTACCAGTCAAGCCCCTTAAAAAATTAACTTTCAAGTCAGATTTTTTTTTATAGCCTCCTTTTCACTGAATTTATGTCTTCTTTTTCCAAAAGTCTATGCTTTAAGGTTCAGTAATTCAAACCTTTGCAAAAAAAATTACCACCAGAAAAATGAGCTACAACTCCTACTTGTTCTTTGATGCCCCTTATGTTTTCAGCTTGCTTTGTCTTCAGGATCACGGTCCAATTAATTATGATCTGAGACATGGCAGTTTATTTTTTTCCAAGAAAAACAGTTAAAACCAGCTGTTTCTTGTCAACTCACTTTTACTTCATCAATTGAGGCCTTACCTAGGAAGTCTTGCTGTTCAGCAAGTATCTGGAAAACAGAAAATAAAAGAAACTAAATCAAGGACAGTAAAGTGAATAAACATTCATATGCCTCTCCTTTCATTAGGCTTCCACTATTGAAGGTCCCAAGAAACCAACCATCTCAAGCACTGCAGCAAACTCAAAACTAGTTGCACTGAACTGAATACTGCCAAAAGGGAGAGAAGAAGAGCTCAAGAACAGTTACAATTGCATCCTTTTTCTAAAGCCTGAAGCTGAAGCGACCTTCTCTTCAGCTTGTAACTTTGGTGCTTTTGCACCAGCTAAGCTATTATTTTTAGCTTGATGATCCAAATGAGCACCATTATCTACACAAATTATTTTACTTGACAGCTAACTATAACTCCCTATCACTAGCAAAAGTAAGAATTAGTAAAAGTAAAGCCATAATAATGTACCAAATGTTATCTCACCTATCTTTATATCTAAAGGTTTTCAGATGATTGCTGGTTACACTAAGTAAGCTTTTACTCCATACTCAAAACACTAACCACCTCCACAGTTGCTAGTCTTTTCAGTTACACATTCTACTGAAAACTACCCCAGCACTTCCAAAATTATTTTGCATATTTTTTAAAAAAGATTATATAGCCAATTTATGGAGGGATTAAGCCCCTTCCTCTGCCACATTTATGCATATTATGCAATGTCCTGAGGTGGCCTTCTCCTCGCAGAACAGCTCAGTCATTTCAAAGGCGCTTTGAATCAAAGTACTAGCGCATTCTTTTCACAGCAGCCTTCACGTGACATTATAGACTTCACATATCCCTTAATTAGAATGTGAATAGAATAAACACAACTATATTTTTCCATCCTAGAAAAAGACAACTTTTGGTGGAGATACATTTTGTTTTTGTTTTTTCTATCAAGCTTGTATTCATTTTGGGGCAAGAATCCATGCAAGCAACCACCCTAGTCAAGTTTATATGACACCCATCAGTGGTCATTTAAAAAAAGACAAATGCCAAACAAGTCCTGGCTTCATTAAAATGAGATTCCAGAAAGGAAGCAGGATAGAGCACAAAAAAAATCTCTGACAGGCAACAGCAGCAACAGCATGACTCCTACCTGCTACAAGCAGTGTCCCATCTCCTTTCAGCAAATTAATTAAGATTTACTGCGTTTCACAGGCTACATACTTTACAAAGATTCCATAATCAGGAAAACTCTCTGCAACTTCAGGCCTAACAAGGTATGGAAACAGACAACAGAACTGGAGCAAGGAAGAGGCAAACTTTTTTCCCCTTTTCCCAACGAGTTCAAACATCCAGTCAAGAACAACATTATCTGTAAGATCAGCAAAGGGACACAAGATAAAACCGTGGGAGTTGACAAGACCGCCCTCACCCCTCCCACAGAGGTGAAGACGCAGTGAGGAGCTACGACACCAGACCAGTGGGAGAAGCAACCGAACCAGGCAGGCCCTAAGCCAAGAATGCCACCTGAAGCAAGACCGCATGTGAGACAGGGAGAGAAAAGAGAAACAGCAACCCTGGCAATACCCTGCTCTGCTCTGGCCGACTTTGCACGTTGAGGACGCCCGCCACGGCCCTTTCTCCACACGCCCTCGTCCCTCACGCAGCCTCCGCCTCTCCCCACAGCACAAGGACCAGTGTCCGAGCCCGCCGCCACAGCAGCTACACAGATAGAACCGCAGGACACACCACCACCCCGTGACCCGCGTAAGCCCCGCCGCCTCAGCTTTCTCCCTCTCTGTTCCCTCTCAGCCAATCACCAGGCCGCCAGGGCGGGCACGGGCATAATTGACAGGCAGCGCCAGCCAATCGCAGCAAGGCAGAGGGAGGTGCGAGGCACGCGAGCTTTAAAACGGACGACCGTTGACCTGACGAGAACGCTGCCGGTGCGCGTGGCGTGCTTGCGCCGGCTGGGGCGGGCGTTGGAACGGCGCGTGCTGGGAGGCGCCGCTTGGAGCCTCGAGGGTGGAGAAGCGCTGACGCCTCAGCGTGCCCTCGTGAGGGAGGTAAGCCGGTGCCCGACACCTGCTGCAAGGAGAGGCTTGTTTTTAGGCTCACCGTAAACGTTTCAGAACGCGGCTGGTATTAGTCATACAAACACAGAACAGTTTGGGTGGGAAGGGACTTTCACAAGTCATCTAGTCTAGCCCTTCTGCAGGGACATCTTCAACTAGGTTAGGTCGCCCAGAGCCGTGTCCAGCCTGGCCTTGAATGTCTCCGAGGATGGTGTGTCTACCACCTCTTTGAGCAACCTGTGCCAGTACTTTGCCACCCTCATTGTAAATAAAAATGCCTTCCTCATATTCAGCCTGATTCTCCCCTCTTTAAGAAGTCTCTCCCTATCTTTCTTGCAGGCCCCTTTTTAAGTACTGAAAGGCTGCAATAAGGTCTCCCCTGAGCCTTCTCCAGGCTGAACAGCCTTGATTCTCTCTGCCTTTCCTCACATGAGAGGTGTTCCATCCCTCTGATCATTTCTGTGGCCCTAGATCCAAAGTAGAGGGGAGAAAGAATAAAAGAAAACTAAGAGAAATAGGTTCATCACCCCATGGATGCAGCACTGTCTTCTCAGTCAGCAAGTTGAAATCCTTTCAGTTTCAATATCTTTCTGTTGCAGCCGCTCTTTAAAAAGTGTGTTTTGGCCTTCAGCATGTGCTCTGATGTGTGCTTGTGCTTTAGGGAGCATTTAGTGTCATGCAGGTTCATGTTTACCAGTAATACCCACGTGAAAAAGGTCTGCTTTCAATCTGTGTTGTTTTATTTAATATTTTAGGCCCTTGGAAAGGGAACTTAAAAGCTATAGGCACTTCTCAGGCTGACTGGGCTGGTGGTCTTGCAGTTTTAGCATAGCCCCTGAACTCCCATCAAAACTCCTTTGAGATCACAGCTGTGCAGCTGCAGCATGCCACTTTGATGGACACATCAGATGCACCTGGGTCAATAGCTTGCAGTTTCTTCACTCTGTTATCAAAATGTTACAGTCCATTTTCCCCATCTAGCAAATTAAAGTCTCTCAAAGCCATCATACTTTCAACAAAGACTTCTTCCCCTCCCTTTTCTGAAACTTTAAATGCTCAACTGCACTTAGTGATAAGGCAGAGAATCCCAGAACTGTTATCTTAGGGACATGTAAATTCGTCTTAATTATGAGTATGTTCCAGAGCTTTTAGCAATCTAGTTTTAAATATGTACTGCCATAAAATTGTCACAACATCATATTAGACATCTGCCTATTCAAGCTTGCTTATTTTTCAAAGAGAAAGCTTGTTATCCTTTTATTAATAATGGCATGAGATGCTAATAATGTATTTTACAAATGATATGCCTCCAGTTGAAAGTTCTGATTATATATATACATACCAAAGCAAATATACCAAAGCTGTTGCCTTTGAGATTATACCACCTTTTCATTTTAGGTGTCATCTTTTGTTTTGACTGCAGGTGAGTCAGCCACAAAGCCTCTAACAGGAATGAAATCTGGGGTATGTTAAGTAAAATTTGGGGCATTTTGACTGCAGCTCGGTGTCCTTTTTCCTGGCAGAGAACTCCATGTGTCTCACTTGGTATTGCTGGTGGAAAGTACTGAAAGAATGAGGACAATCATCTCTTCTAAGTGGAAAGAAAAAAAACAAACCAACAAAATGAAAAAACAACAAAAAATACCCCAACAAAACACAAACAAAACCCACCTACAACTCATTATTTTCTTTGTATTTCATATAAGTGACATCTAACTGGAGTACAGATGACTGACTACTGCTCAAGGGTAGAGTTGCTGAACAAGTGCTCAGCTGGAAATGTTAAACCATTCCAGCACTTAACAGGAGAAGGTTTCAAGGAAAACACACAGATTTGCCACCAGGTTTTTCACTGTATGACATGACATGAATAAAAGAGAAAATACCCAAAAAGTATTTGAAGCCTACATTATTATCTCTTATTAAACATCAAAGTCAGACATAGGAACTAAAAGACTCATTTGATTTTGTTGCTGACCCCTGCCTCTGTAAAAGAAATTAATGATCCTTTTCTTCCTTTGTTGCCCATGTGCTAATTGGGTATCAGAGTCCTTACAACCTCACTTGTCCACATGTGCTAGCTGCTTTTTTTCTCTCTGACACTCTTTAAGTGTTCAGTATAATTAGGTTTTACTAAGAAGAACTGTTTCTAACCTGTATTTGTCTTTGATTTTGCTGTGACTCATGGTAAAGTCTGAGCTGGATATTTTATAGTAAGAAAAGATTTGCAGGGAAATGCAATATTTTTCATAAATCAAGCAGTATATCTGACAACTTCAGGTCTTCAAAAAAGAGTTTGCACACCTGAAGGCTTCTCATGGCTAAATCAAAACTAGTTACCTCAGCACTCTCTGCTTTTCTTGTATTACAACAAGCAGAATTCTCAACAAGCAAACCCCTCAGTTAATCTCCCATTTCAAAATTTTAGGTTTAGTTACTTTTAACTCATTGTGTAATTCTGTCAAGTTGGAACAGTTGTAGGAGATAAATGCTTCTCTCTCCTCCATGTAAGCACTGCCCCCAGTAAATTCCACCTTGGTTTAATTTCCCTTTCTCTCACGTAGTATGATTGCTTTGTGTATTCAAAAGACATGCCTCACTTATTTATCTGGAGCCATCGCTTGGATACCTGTGGTAGAAGGAGAAGGAAGATTAACATTTTAGTTCCCGTTTCTATGAGTGACAACTGTTGACAGCAAAGCAACAGTTTATCACTATTGTGATTTCTTTCTCACTCCCCATGCATCTGTAAACACCACTCATTCAAATTAATGCCATATTTTAATTCTTTTATTATTAACAAAGATTCACTAAAGAATGGGAAAGAAGACCAGGCCCAGAACAATGTTTGTTATCGATCAGAGTATTTAGTTCTTTACTGCGTTATTGAATCGGTACCTTAGAACATCACTGTTTAACTTTTAAACCTGATAAATAGAAACTTATTTCAGTAATTTTTTACAAGAGTTTCAGCATAATTTATAAAAAGCACTTGGCACAATTTCTGGTTAGAAGATTACCTTAAATTGCAAATAATGTGCTATTTACCCTAAAGTTTTATACCATTCCTATTAACAGAGTTAGTTTCCTCACAAATGTATTTTTGAAACTGTCACAAGTCTGATGGATGAGGAATGAGAGCAGAGTCCTGTCAGGATTATGCCATTTATTCCTTTGGCTAAATTTGAAAATGTGAAAGAGGTCTTTTTCTTACATGTTTTATTTTATAGCACTGCACCAGACAGTTGCTTTGCTTCTCCAAGTTATTTTAAGTAGCTGTAACACAGTAGTCCTTGATGTTTTTTAACTTCTGTTTCATTGGAATGCTAGCAAGCCCCAGCATATATATTCCTGGAGTGGGCTATTACTGCAGTTGTAATATACGTTAATAGAAGCATAAGCTTTTTTTGCTGGTGTAAATTTTACTATGGCCTGGAGCAGGAAAAGAGGGTATGTAGTATTTTTGCACTCTGACAGGTTTGATATGTAGGTAGTGGAAATACTTTAAAAGGAAGCAGACGTCCTTTGAAGTTTAGACAAAAGTCTCCGTAGAAAACCTAGACATAATAGGATTGTAAATCTAATTATAATAAGCTGTCTAGAAAGACTTCATTTCAATCAGTCAGTCCATTTTATTTGCTGGTTTGTTTTATCAAGTAGCTGCATTGCCAGGTTAGGTAGGATCCTCCTAACAAGGCATCCTAGTGCCTAAAGGGTCTTTTTTCTCAAAAGGTGCTGTTTGCTCTCATTCAGCTTTCTGCCTTTAAAGAGTTGGGATCTTTTTAATCATAAAATTATGAATCTGATATTGCTGAATAAGAATTTGAGGGAACAGAATATTAATTGTAGGGAAATCATACAAAATTGGTTTCTTTTTTAGTAAAGCACTTTGAGACACACATACCACATGATTTTAACTTACAGATAATGCAGTGAATATGAAATAATGGATCCTCAAGCATGTTCCATCTTCACTTAGATGAGTGAATATCAACAATTTCACTGATGTAAATTGAATGAAATCCACTTTAAGCCAACATTGCTGAGTGCAGAGTGATGTAAAATGTGCATAATGAAGTGTATAAAATCACTTCCCCTCATTGCCTCCAGAATGATTGCCTTCTGCTCCCTCCACATCTCACTCTAAAAACCTGGACCCTGCGTAAAAAAGCCAGTCACACAGCAAAGCCCTGTTGTCTAGCAGTGGAGCCAGCCCTCTACTGCCAGACAACAGTAGGATCAGATGGGAACTGCTGTAAAAGTAACACCGCAAACATGTGGTGGAAGAAGAGGTGAGTGTCAGAAAATAGAAGGGAAAACAGGATGGGAATGGGAAGGACCAAGGGAGATGGAGAATTCTGTACTGCGGTACTGTGATCTTTTGATGCTCCACTGTCACAGAATGCTTTCCTGTCTGCTTTTTAGGCAGATGTTTTAAATGAGTTCTGAAATGACAGTATATCCTCCACATGTCTGTACAGCAGCAGTTAAAGAGGTTTGGCAGTCTTAGTGCTTCTGAAAGTGGCCACTGCCCCAGCAACCTGGAAACCAAAGTTTTCTTTCCGCAAGGATATGAAACAGAAA